CTCGTCCTCGTCGTCGTCGTCGTCGCCCTCGTCCTCGTCCTCATCCTCGTCCACCTCCGCCTCCTCGTCGTCGTCGTCTTCTCCAACGTGGGTGTCCTGCTGCATGAACTGCACGCTGCTTGAATGCCCCGACCGACCCGGCCCGCCCGTCAGGGTCCGCCCGCCCGACGTGCCCGCTGGGGTCCGCCCACCCCGCCGGCCTGTCAAGGCCCGTCCGCCCGGCCCGCCCGCTGGGGTGCTCCCCGCCGGACCCACCACGCCGGGGTCCGACCGCCCGACCCGCCCAGCGCGCCCGTCAGGGTCGTAGTCGCCATCGTCGCCCTCATCATTGTTGTCGTGGTCGCCGTCCTCGTCTTCGTCGTCGTCGTCGTCGTCGTCGTCGTCGTCATGGTCGACGTCGTCGTGGTCGGCGTCGTCGTCGTCGTCGTCGTCGACACCGTCGTGCCGTCGTCGTCGACATTGTCGTCGCCTCGTCCTCGTCCTCGTCGTGGTCGTCGTCGTCGTCGTCGCCCTCGTCGTGGTCGTCGTCGTCGTCGTCGCCCTCGTCGTCGTCGTCAACGTTGTCCCCATAGAAATCCGGCTGGATGGATTCCACGCTACTTTTATGTCCCGAACAACCCGGCCGCCCGTCAGGGTCCGCTCGCCCGACTTGCATGTCAAGGTCCGCCAGCACGATCCGCTCGCCCCATTCGCCCGTTAGGGTCCGGTTCCCTCGCCCGCCCGCCCGACTTTCTCCTTTGGGGTCTGCCCGCCCGACCCTTCCGTCAGTGTCGTCGTCGTCGTCGTCAGGCATGGGTGCCTCAGGTAGTCGCACAAGCGCCCAGTTAATGAAATTTAGTGCCCTCCACTAAACCCGCTGGGTACCACTTTAATCCCACTAAGACCACGAAAATCCCACGTGAGCACCCTCTAAATCCCATTACATTTCATTAAACAATAATTTGGGTGGGCCCAGCATAATCTCCCATACTTGGCAACCTAAGAATAGCGACGATGTCGGGGCCTCGGAAGGGCGTTGAGTCCTCCAGGCGCACGCCTCCGTCCAGCGTCAGGATGACGTTCCCACCCAGAAACAAAGGGAGCTGCGCCGAGATCAACCTTTGATGCTAGAGCCAGGGGGGCCCAACGCCGTACCTCGCCCACGCCACGTGCTTCTCGCCTTGAACACCAAGCCCTGCACGAACGACGTCAACCGCCAGACCGCACCAGCCAGTCCCGCTCCTGCAGTGCACCCCAGCACGAACGGAACGGCAGCCACCAGATCGCCTGGCAGCCACTCAGGAGCAGCCTCCTCTGCCCTTGGGCGCAGCCTCCAATGCCCTCCACACTGAAGAGGCCCCAGGACACACGAACAAATACACACAAATAAAAAAGATTCCCCATATTTTCCCATATCTAGGGTTTTTTGTCTTCCCCCCCACTTCCCATATTTCCCCATATTATCTGGGGAATCGAAGATTAATTGTGTCTGTGTGTTTTTTCCTCTCCTGGCACACGGCGGGCAGCCGAGAGGATGAGGGCACGGGGTGGCGCGGCACGCCGGGCACTGCAGGCTCGGGCAAGGCGATTTCGGGGGGCAGGAGGAGGTCGAGTAGGGTCAGCACCGCAGCGGCCACCCGCACGCCGCCGGGGACGCACCATGCGCCCCGAGGTCACCAGCAGATCCGAGGGAGGCCATCTGCCACGCGCTGGTCGCGCACTGGAAAGCCCTGAGCCTGGAAGGTTGAGGAAGATGGTGCTGAGCATTTGGACGCCCGAAATGGGCACGGAAAGAAGGGGTACAGTGCCCAACGACAAATGCTGTCCCCCAGACCAACAGCGGCCGCCGTGGGGCAGGCGGCCTTCTGTCTGAAATGGGCACAGGCCGCGGCGGCGCGGACAGCATGTCCTGTTCAGAATGAACAAGATCCGCTGTTGGGCATTGTACCCATTCTTCACGTGCCCATTTCGTTCGTGCAGAGTGCCGTGCGCCAAGGTCACCAGCAAATCCGATGGATGCCATCTGCCGCGCGCTGGTCGCGCACTGAAAGCCCTGAGCCCGAAAGATTGAGGAAGAGGAAGAGGAAAGGAGGTAGAGGAAGAGGAGGAAGCCTGGTGCTGAGCAGGAGGAAGAAGAGGAAGAGGAAGGGAGGAAGAGGAAGAGGAGGAAGAGGAAAGGAGAAAGAGAAAGCCTGGTGCTGAGCAGGAGGAAGAGGAGCAGAGGAGGCGAAAACGACGGGCGGCCGCGGGCACCGACAGCAGGCCCTTTGGGGACCACCCGCCGACGAGGAGGGAGACCGGACACGGCCGTTCAAGGCCGCGCTCCACTGAAAGGCAGAGCGGTACGAGTCATCCTGGAGACCTAGATCTGGGGACAGTGCCGTTTTAATACACTCTCCGCGTGCGGATCATGTATTAAAAATGCAAGTATTCAGTACTAACAAAAACGCTGAGTTCATGCATACATTTATTCATCAATTAATAATGTTTTAAACATCCTCTGTTTTTAACCATCCCATGTATTAAACAATCCTACGTGTTAAAATAATCCTGTGTTTTTTGGTACATCGGATTTCTAATAAACATGGGATTTTAATGCATGGCTAATTCATGAATAAATTCATGCGTGAACTCATCGTTGCTTTTAATACTACACCCCTGCATTATTAATACAGGATCCGCACGCGGAGCATGTAATAAACACGGCACTGTACGAGTCATCCTGGAGACCTCGATCTGGGGACTCTCCATCCCGCACCGATCCAAAGGCCTGTCGGCGGGCGTCTCCAGGAGCTGCCTCTCGGAGGGGCTCGGCCAGCGCAGCATGCCGGTCGGCAGGCTGGACGCGAAGGCGCCCACCCAGTCGCCGTGCTCCTGGCTCCCCGGCGTGCGATAGAAAACGGGAGGTGGCTCAGGGGAGGGCGGGGCTGCTGCCTGACTCGTCGTCGCACGCTCCTCAGATCTGCCATCACGAAGTCGCAGAGAGCACGCTTCGCAAGCGCTCGGGCGAGTAACATGTCCCGACACTTCGGACCAAAACCAGGGGGAGCCCGCTGCACGGTTTCCCCCGGGGCCGTAGGCGACCCGAGAAGGGGGAGGAGAAGGAGGGGGAGGAGGAGGAGGAGGAGGAGGAGGTGGAGGAGGGGGAGGGGGAGGAGAAGATGGAGGAGGAGATGGAGAGGAGGAGGAGGAGGAGGAGGAGGAGGAGAGAAGGAGGAGGAGGAGGAGGAGGAGGAGGAGGAGGAGGAGGAGGAGGAGGAGGGGTCGCCTGAGCCCTTCGGAGGAACCCTCCAACGGAACCCCGACCTCCCCACAACCTCGGCGGGGGTCGCAGGTGGATCGCGGGGGTACATCGCGGGACGGGGCACGGGGGGCCCACGACGACGACGACGACGACGACAAGTTCTAGACAGTACGCTCTCCACTGGCCGCGTGTCACTCAACGGGTATACCCGAGCCCTCGACTCCCGCCCTCTTCGTCTGGGGAGGCGCCCCCAAGGAGGGGGGGGCCCTTCCTGCAAACTCTGGGGCAAACCCTAACATTTGTACACGATGACCAAAGGGGACGGGCGGGCGGGCTCTGCCAGGCGGGCCGGGCGGGCGGGGCAATCGGCAAGCGGCTCTCCCGGCGCTCGGGCGGTCGACCCGTCGGGTCCCGACGGGCGGGCCCGCCGTCGGACGCTCACGGGCGGGTCGGGCGGGCCCGGCGGGGGGACCCCTGGACGGGCGGGCCGCGGACACGAACGGGCGGGCCGGCGGGGCGGACCCTGCTGGACGGGCCCGGCGGGCGGCCCGATTGGGCGGATCGGTCGGGCGAGCCCTGTCGGGCGGGCCAGGCGGCGGGCGACTCGGGCGAGAGCGCGACTCCTACAATTCCGGAGTGTGTCGCGGGAGTGTCCTGGGCGAGATCGCGACCTCAGAGCGGCGGGAGCGCGGATCTTGAATGTAAGGTCACTATCAACCCAAAAATCCGGCCAGAGTGCGTTTCTTGACCACATTGCAAAAGAGTCTCGAGCGAGAGCGCGACTCCTGACTACATTGCGACGAAATCCAAAACGAGAGCGCGATTCCCAAAGGGCGAGAACGCGATGCCTGCGCAAATCCTGAGGACCTCCAGAGCGAGAACGCGATTCTTGATCGAATTGCGAAGAAGTATCGAGCGAGAGCGCGCCCCCATAATACATTGCGAGGAAATCTCAGGCGGGAGCCAGTGTTGTAGCCCCTGACCCCAACAAGGGAGGTTGAGAACGCCTTGCGCTGAGACACAGCAGGGTGCGAGCCCTTGGGGGGGCACCTAAACTTAGCAACGCAGTGGGCACAAGCGGGGGGATCAACAATCAAGTGTTTCAGAAGTGCTAGCTCAACAACAACAACAACAACAACAACAACACCAACAATTACTAGCACGTGGGGACACTCCGTTCTCACCAGTGCCAGGGTTTTCATAGGAGGCGGGCAATACCCCCACTTTGTGGGGGGGCCGGTTCAAGCTCTACCAAATTTCCAAACGACTCTTCGCCACCACCCACACCCAGCTTCCCGCCCTATGACGTTCGGACACCTCACTTCGTGGCCTGCGGACGACCTTGGCTACTACACTGGCGCATGGGTACAATGACTTGTTGTGGTAACATTTTCTGTAAGCTAGCTTAGTATACGACTTTTCCCCCTGCAATTGAAGATTTCGGCGTGCGCGCGCGAAGAAAAAACGAATGTGTCCCATATGGTATTATTTGACAGGGATGATGGCCCTGGCAGGCGCGCAACCGTTGTTGCAGAAGTTCGAAGCACGTGAAAAAGTTGCTCGCAAGAGCCCGTTTGACAGAAATGTTGAAAAAGTATTGGGTTTCCTAAGAAATCCGCAAGAGCGCGCGGGATGAATTTTTGAAACTTTTGTTTTGAAAAACCATTGGGTTTTTCATGTTTTTATGTTAAAATCGCTACGAAAACTAAGGTTTTGGAAGGATTTCATCTTGCGCGCGCGAGTGTGCACTTCGTGCCATTTTTTGCAAAGGATTCTTGAAGATTGGTTATGTTAGAACAAGACATGTCATTATATATTGTTTGTTGACAGGGAAAGCGGGCGTCAACAAAACAACCGGATCCGGACTCCCCCGTTTTGCCTGAGACTTCCTCACGAAAATGATGAAAATGTGGCTGCGGCCTAGGCGCGGCGAGGGGGGCGTGCACCAGGGGGCCCAACAATAATTATTCTTTAGAAGTAATAATATTCAACAACAACAGTAACAGTAACAACAATAACAACAGCAGCAGCAACAACAACAACACCAACACCACCACCACCACCAACAACAATAATCAGTTTACCCTCGTGCGCGATGTTTCCACACGTAGCATGCGACCATCATGATAGCCATCCCCATCATGGGGGATTATTCTTCTATCGCGGGGGTCCGTCATTCCCCTTCCCAGATCTCCCGCCCCATGAGGTCTGGCAGTCACCTCCCCCGAGGAATTTCCTCCTAGCCCGCCTCGGACGCACATGCCCGCCCCCTGCTGTGCTGATGCGAGACCGCCAGTGGGATCCGCAGCCAAGGAGCAGGAGGAGGAGGAGGAGGAGGAGGAGGAGGAAGGGGAGGAGGAGGAGGAGGAGGAGGAGGAGGAGGAGGAGGAGGAGGTTGAGGAGGAGCAGAAGGAAGAGGAGCAGGAGGGGGCGGTCGGCGGTCGGCGGCGAGGACCAGCACCGCCCCCAGGAGGAAGGGAGGACGCCTCGAGCGGGAGCGCTGCTCTTGCTGGGGGCGGCGCCAATCCAAAAGAGAGAGAGTAGGGCGCCAGTCCAGCGTAAAACGAGAGGCGGTCTCGGGCGGGAGCGCTGGTTTGATTGGGGCGGCGAGTTTCGGCGGCGAGCAAGAGCACCGGCTCTGAGTAAAGGGAACAAGGAAGGCTCGAGCGGGAGCGTTGTTCTTGCTGGGGGCGGCGCCGATGAGAGAATAAGTAGCGCGCCAGTCCAGCGTAGAACGGGAGGATGTCTCGGGCGGGAGCGCTGGTTTTGTTGGGGCGGCGGTTTTCGGCGGCGAGCAAGAGCACCGGCTCTGTGTAAAAGAAAAGTCTCGAGCGGGAGTGTTGTTGTTATTGGGGGCCAGTTTTGGCGCCCCCCCAAACCGCTCGAGCGTGAGCCTCATTTTTTTATGAAAATGTAGCTGGCGCCGAGGCGAGAGCGCCAGAGCGCCTGAGGGGGGTCAACAATAATAATTGGTCAATAGTTGACATTCAGCAACAACAACAACACCACCAACAGCAGCAGCAACAACAAGCAACAACAAGCAACAACAAACCGACAAACAACAAACACCAGACCACAAACAACAAAGCACAAACAACAAACAACAAACAACAAACAGCAAACAACAAACAACAAACAGCAAACCACAAGTAAAAATCAACACACAACAGCCAACAACAAACAAACAAACACAACAACAACAATAACAACAACAACAGCAACAACAACAACAATAACAACTACAACAACGCAAACAACAACGACAACAACAGCAACAACAACAACAACGACAACGACAACGACAACAACACTCATTTAAAGACTGTTCACCCTTACCTGCTCGAGTGTACAAGAACGCATATTTCCCAAACCCGCGATACCCGCCGTCTTCGTCTTCGATCGAACCCCTTTTGGGGGGTATACCTTTCTTCCCTGCAAACTGGGCCCCGGCAAGCGGCGGGGCGGCCGCGGACCGTCGGCCTGTCCAGCGGCCAGCGGCAGCGCTGATCGGCGGGGCGGCCGCGGACCGTCGACCCGACCCCAAGAGGGACGGACAGGGGACCGACCACGACGACGACGACGTCGACGACGACGGCGACGACGACGACGACGACGGCGACGACGAGCGAGAGCGAGAGCGAGAGAGAACGACAGCAGGGCCACGAAGAACACGAAGTAGGCCACGAAGGGCGACAGCGGGGACACGAAGGGAATGCGCATGGGGCCACGAAGAGCGCGAACGAGCGGGGGCCACGAAGGGCAGATAATGTGGGGCCACAGAAGGCAACGATGGGGCCACTGAGGGTAGCAACTGGGCTACGTAGGACAGTGAGGGGGCCACAAACGGCGACAGCGGGGCCACGAAGGGCATGCACATGGGGCCACAACGGGCGCGACTCCTGGGTGCCTGGGTGTCGGGAGCGCGGAGCAAATTGCAAGAAATTCCAACGCAAGGGCGCTACTCTTCAGTAAATTGCAAGCGCCTCTCCAGCGAGAGCGCGACTCCTGAGCGCCGGGAGAGCGATTCCGGAATAAACTGTAAGGAAGTCCCAGGCGAGAGCGCGATTCCTGAATAAAAAACGAGGAACTCTCCGGCGGGAGCGGGGGTTCTGGCTAAATTGTGAGGAAGTCTCAGGCGGGAGCCGTTGTTGTTGTAATCCGGGGGCCAGGGGCGCAGTTTGAGCATCGAGCGTCGAGGGGCACACTTCGATAGAGAAAAAACAGTATGCACCGGTGAGGAGGGATCAGCAATAATTATTCTTCTGAAGCGAAAGTTCAATAACAACAACGTCAACAACAACAACAACAGCAACAGCAACAGCAACAGCAACAGCAACATCATTAACAACAGCAACACCAACAACAACAACAGCAACAACAGCAACAACAGAAACAACAGCAACAACAGCAACACAACAACAACACCACCACCACCACCAACAACAACAGCAACAGCAACAGCAACAGCAACAGCAACAACAGCAACAGCAGCAACAGCAACAGCAACAGCAACAGCAACAACAACAACAGCAACAACAACAACAACAACCACCACCACCACCACCACCACAACAACAACAACAACAACAACAACAACAACAATTACTAGCACGTGGGGACACACCGTTCT